TATTGAGATGTATGCTTAAAAACTTTCAGAGGTTTTGGACTGCATTATAATAGTTGCTTTCATATGAAATTTTTATCTTTTTCGTTAGAGCTTTTAATGCAAAATTTTGTAAGAAAACTTGACTGGCAACTGCAGCAAAACTTTGGTGTTTCCCACCTGTAGCTTGGGTTTGATGTGTACTAACTTAAGACACTTATGGCATGACGTTAAAATATAATTTTAATGGAAGTATGTGGTGATGTGTTATTTAAGTTGCTTTTTTTTCTCCAAGGTCCACCTTTTGTTTGCATTTTGTTTTGGGGTAGGAAGTTATTAGGTTATTTTTACATAGAAAAAGCGGGAGATTTTACATGACTGTGAAGCAATCAAAGCAATTTTGAAGATGAATACAAACCTTGCAGATGGAGACTTTTTTCTTGCATTGTGTTTTGTAGTTTCAAGCTTTTTGACATCAAACTTTTCCTGCTGCAGGAGGGCTAACAGTAGATGACTATTAAATGTTCCTGATCAACCATCTGAATGGAAGTGCTGATACGAATTATAAGGCTGAAATCATCTTGGATTAGCATTCAGATGCATGGTGTTCAAGCAGTAAATTACCTGGCTTACAATTTGCCAGGAAAGACTGAAATTAAGAAGGGCTTATCTGCAGCTACTGTAGAGAAAAGCAAACAAAAATTATAAACAGGATTCTAAAGGGAAAAAGGGGATTGGAGAACTATTTCTGTTTATTCAGGTACTCTGACAAATATTGTGAATGTCCATTAGACATGAGGAAGCTTTTGGGCTTTTTATTCCCCTCTGTATTAGATAGATTTGTCCAATTCCTTTCCTGTCTAAATAAAGTCCTCCTGTCCAGCCTGTTTCTTTGTTGCATGTGGTTGAGCGGGTAAAACTGTAAACTGCAACGTGGACAGCACTGCCGTTCTTTCCAGGAACGCACTCAAGGAAGGGGGAGGCTTGAACGTGGACTGAACATTGGTCCTCAAGTCTCAGGCTGTTGAACTAGGGCCTCCCTTTTTTTCAGAGGACTGTTGGAGATTTATTCTGTGTTACAGAGTAATCTGTAGCTAAAGCAAAACAGTCTGAAAGAGGCTTCAGAAGTGCAGTGACCCAGCGCATGCAGAGCCAGAGAGCTGCCACCTCAGCCGCACACAGCAAGAGCAACATGGCAAGGCCAGTGACAAAGGTGGCTCTACTGTGACAAATGTCTCTCTGTAAAATAGACTGCACTGAAGTCTGTGAGCCTAGCATAGGTTTGAATGCATAGGAGGAGTGACAGGCTGGGTCTGCTCCTCACCTTCAGCAGGCAAAACTGCACACTGCCAGGCAGTGAAAAGGCATTTTGGTTTCTCATCACTAATTTCCTGTACTTGAACTCTGCATAACCTCAGGATTCAATCTTCACTCTGTTTAAACTGCATGTACAACTCGGCTTACCCTGGCTGAGGCACTACATGCCTAGTGCTGGTGTTCAAAGGCAGGCAGGTATCCAAATCTGCTATAAGAAACGTGGGACCTGTGCCTCAGATACCTCAGAAGCACTATGAGCTTTGTCAGCAGCAGAGCATTAAGAGAGCTTACTTTCTTCTTGACTACCTAGTGTATTACCAAAAAATGCTTTCCCCAAGCTGTCAAGTGTACCTCCACAGGAAGGCTCAGAGAAGAGCCAATGGTCATCGTCTGTGCAGGACCTTTGGCAGGGGCCTGGGCTGCTGGCGGAGCTCAGAGCAGCAGAGGTGAAGAGGAAGCAGAGGCCACGATGGGCTGCTAGGATAAGGCAGGCTTAGACTGCAGTGAATAAGGGAGGAAGTAAAAAGGAGCAAAGTGGAAAGTGCCGAGGCCTTCTGGTCAAAACATAGGATAGAGAATATTTATTCTGTGTTCACTTACTTCATGTTCCTCTCTTCCAAAGACTGACAGAAAAGGAAACAGTGAGATTTGCTCAATCATGCCAGCGCAGGAGTAAGACCCTTTTTAAGAGTGTGTGTTTGCAGTCAGCATAAGCTAGTCTAGGACAATGCTGCCACCAAAAGGCACACCCAGTTGTTACCTTCTTTGCTTCTGTAGGTTAGTATTTGAGCATGAGGTGTGTTATGACAAGCGGTGCTTGTGAGCCAGCACCGGCTCAGAGCCAGGCTCTTTGCTTGCAATGGGTTTCTTACAAGGGACACCTCAGAAAAAGGTTACACTTGTCAGTGATTTCTGAAGACACTATTTGTCACCACTTACCTATGCCATTTAGTCCTGTGTAGAGGCCAAATATCCTCATAAGCTCATCAGTTCTTCCTGCTGCACCTTCTTATCAATTATGAAGTGATCAGTACCAGAGTCTTGGGATGTCTCGGCTATCTCAAATCTGAAAGGGGGCCATGTCTGAGGTACAATGCTTCACTTGGTAACTAGGAAAAGAAGTTGTGAAGCAGTATTCAGACATTGTTTATTATGCATATGTAGATAGGAAGAGTGTAAGACAATCTGGATTGCTGTAGTTGTCTTAAAAGGATGAGTGTTCATCAAGTCCATGTTAGGATGTATGTATCTTAAAAGATGTTCCTTATGCATATGAGACTTTTTAGGTCTCTCTCTACAGACACAAAGTTTGCATCTTGAATTTTGTCTTTGGTTGTGTTCCATATTTTAAAGGCTAAAGAAGAATAGGTGGGTTTGAGCCAGAACAGGTGTTTCATCTTACTGGCTTGTGGCCAGCAAGAACCAGCCTCCTGTCCTCCCCACAAGAATCAGAAAATACAGAAGCAGAAAAAATTGTCCTATTTTTTGTCACAAGTATTCCTTCTCAGTAGAGAAAACCATACTATCACCCACCTGGCCATTGCAATAGATGACTTTACGATTTTCAGGGCTTCTTGTGCCAAATTGCAAAGGAGCAGAAGAATCTGAGATGCAGTTTGAATAACAAGATCTTGGAAACTCTTTAGTGTTCTGAGAACAACGTCTGCCAGAGAAGTTTTTCCTGTTAATGAAATAACAAATGAACTATCATTTTGGGGTGGGTAAAATAATTCCTTGAAAAAAGTCATGTTTCTGCAATATTGAAATAGCTAAGGTAAAGTGCATTGAGTCACAAAAGCTGCCTGTCACCATGGCTACATCGGCTACAGCCAAATGAGTATATTAATGTAACATCCTAGGTGATTGCTGTGAACAAACAAACAAACAAAAACAAACTAAAAAAACAAACAATAAAATATAGTGTCCCTGGGAAGGCTACTCTTACTGAAGAGTTCAGGAGCTACATCAGGGCATTTTGCCTGAACAGTTCAATGTTGATGCCCCTCAGAAGATCTTATGGATCTCTTCTGTCTGACAACATGCTCATCATCTTAGTTCTGGGTCTTATGTGTGTAATCTCCTCAGTGGATGAAGTCTATATACCATGGGTGGATACTTACCCTGGGGAGTCTGATGGGCTGACAGGACTGCCTGATTGCAGCAGAGCTTTGGAAACCTGCCTATCTTGCCTCTTTCCACTGTCATGGGGTAGCTATCACCTTTCTAATGGGCATTAAGCATCACTGCCCAGAGCTATTCAGTTCCATTCGCTATCCTTTATAAACTTCCCTTTCCTTGAAAGGGAATGGAGACCTTTTTTTAAGTATACTTGGGGAGCTCTTACAGGAATAGGGAGAAAATGTTTCTGCAAAGAGATCTGTCTTTTCTTTTTCATACCCAAGGAGATTTTTTTAAGTAACCTCCTAGCAGGACGGCAGTTATTTTGCTTCTGACTCTTTGTTCTGGGATCAAATATTGCTGAGCTATCCATCTTTATGCAAAGTCATGGCAGTTAGTGCATTGAGCTATTGTGAATCGAAATGTCCTTTACTGTCCTAGGAAGCTGATACAGACCAGGGAGGAATCCATCAGCAGAATATCTTTGTCTAAATGAAAAATAATCTAAGTTACCAGGAGGATTCAACTTAACCAATCATGAGCAGAATATAGATATTTATGGTATGAGTTGCAAAGTTAAACATCAGTTTTGGGAGATGGTGGATGATATCACTTAATTCTTACCAAACTCTTAGTCATCAACAATACAATTCAAATAAACACACAAAGAAAGAATTTGTACATTAATGTTGTCTCTTTGAGATATTATTTTCTATGGGATGCTCATGTCCTGCCTACCAAGCAAATGTTTTGGACCCTTAGATAATTTTTTTTCTTTTTGAGAAGCAGGCTTACCGCTATTTCTGCTTAGCAGGCACCTATATCGTAGGCTGGTGAAGTGCTACCCACCTGCTGGCCTCCAGGACCTACCTAGTCATAAAATCCACAATTGTGTGCAAGAGCTGATCACACCCCAGACTGCGAATTGAAGAACTGCAGTTGGTGTGGGATGAGCAGTTATTGTTACAGCAGTTACAGTTCTTGTAAAGATAATTAGTTCTGGGAAACTTCATTGGTGTGAGGCAGCAGAAGCTGTATTTTAATCTGCTTTTAAGTGGGTTTTACCAAAGCAAATTCTAAAGGCAAAGGCGACATATTTGAAGGCAAAAGGAGATTGCATTGGCTGTGTCAAAAAGCTATATTTTAAAGCTTTTGCTGTTTATAGCCCTAGTGTTGGAGTTTTAGATTTTAAAAATCCTTATTTATGTTGGTGTTGATCCTTATCTTAAAAGTCATTATGATATATGAAATAACAGACAGTTCTAGTTCTGTTTTAGAAATTATTAGGAAGTGGTCATAAGCAGATAGATAGAAATACTTTCTTATTTTCTACAGCAGTGTCGTAAATCTAAAGATAGCCATTATCTCTCCCTGGGGAAATAAGTGCTAAATAAAAAACTAGGAATATTGAATCCCTTATCTGTTTCCTGGGGAAAAAGCATGTCAGCTTATTTGATGTCACAGAAGAGTGTAAATATATTACTTAGTAGGTGTGATTAAAGTTCTTTATGCAAATACACTTTTTCATTGTTTTTCATTGGTGTCTGTGCTACCTTTTATGTCCTGTAATGATTTATTTCAGAGCTCCACAACCACCATGTTGCCCTGTGGACCAGCTTTGTCCTTTGCTCGGTGCCTGCTGCGGAAGAAGAATGTCAGTGGCGAAAGTCTTGAGGACTCCAAGTTGTGCCGATGCTTATCGACAGTGGACCTTATTGCCCTGGGGGTAGGAAGCACCCTTGGTGCTGGTGTTTATGTCCTTGCTGGAGAAGTAGCCAAATCCGATTCCGGACCTAGCATCGTGGTTTCCTTCCTGATCGCGGCGCTGGCGTCTGTGATGGCAGGGCTCTGCTACGCTGAGTTTGGTGCTCGCGTGCCCAAGACTGGCTCTGCCTATCTGTACACTTACGTGACTGTTGGCGAACTGTGGGCTTTTATCACTGGTTGGAATCTCATTTTATCCTATGTTATAGGTAAGCTTAAGAACACGGGTCTCAAGGGGTTCTGAGACACCAGATAAGGTACAGATCTGAGTCTCTTTCTTTCCTGTCTCTATATTGCTTTGTTACTCCTGCTGAGATGAAATAACCAAAGCAATTTGATTAGGTTATTTCTTCCTGTGCAGCAAATACAGTTTTTGCAAGATGCCTTGTATTCAGCAGTAGGAACTGCATGCATTGTATGAAAATAGTGTCAGACAGTTCAGTGATGATGCACAAGAATAAACAGGATTTCACTGCTGTCTTTGGTCAGCAAGAATAATTTCAGTAAAATCAAGAAGCTTTTTTTTTTTTTTTCTGAATATACACAGCAAGGACATTTACAGGGACCTCATCACTATAGTATCTGACTTCAAGAAAGCAAGAAAGTTGTGATTTTTAAGTACTAACTTGTTACTGTAGCCTCATGGTAATTAGTGACCTATCAAGTAATCCCATAAAATACAGAGTTGGTCAGGTCTGAATAAAATGAATGCTCATATGGCAGATATTCAAATAACTATTTCAGGTAGTGCATTAGCAGAGATGACATTTTTTGATTCAAAAACGTTTTCTTCCAGACGTATGTGTTCCAAGCATCCGTTATATTGAGTATAAGCACATCTAGCTGTTTATGTGTACCTAACTACAGAACTGTTGCCCAAATCACTACAGAGTCAATATGCCCAAGTATGTATTGAACTATATTTCATGACAGGAGAGCTGTAGAAGTCAGGTTGTATTTAGCCATGGCCATGTGCACTCATTACCAGAGGAGAGACTAACACTACCAATATACATCTTGCTAGTCATTTTTTTCTTTACTTCCAGGTGGATAAACTTTCCTTCATGTTCTTTCTTAAACTGCTTTCTTACATTGCTTTATATTGTTTAACATATGCCACACTAACTTTTAGAAATATGGGTGTTCCAGAATTACCTCAGATGTAAATGACAGAGAAGTAATTTTTGCAATATTTTGGAAATAAATCAGGTACAAATGTCTATATTTTAGTTGTAGAACAATATGTTACCATTTATGTTTTAGAATTTTTCTCCATTAAAATTCCTCAGCATATCAAAGTCACACTTTTAACATGCTCTGCTTTTTTAAATGCAAGTAGTAACATGCTTAGTTTTATTTCTTTTTCAGTAGAACTTACTGTATCCCATTGTATGTATGCAAAACCCTAAACACGTATGCATTTTATGAAGGTACATCAAGTGTAGCAAGAGCCTGGAGTGGCACCTTTGATGAACTTCTTGGAAAACAGATTGGTCATTTCTTCAGCACCTACTTAAAAATGAATTACTCTGGGCTAGCAGAGTATCCTGACTTCTTTGCTGTATTCCTTATATTACTGTTATCAGGTAAGACAATATATCCCTTCGTTTATGGTGGTTGTGATGTCAGAGTGTTTCTTACAGACAAAAATGCTAAATTGTAGCTTGTGTTTTACAAACTTAACAGCTGCTTCCACAGGAAAACATTCTTACTCCCACCAGGAGTGGAGGAAGCAGTAAGTGTATCCTAAAGTGTAGAGTTTATTTTCGGCCAGTATGAAAAGCATTTCGGTATTCAGTAGAGATCTTGCCCATATCTCAAATATCTGTCATGTTCAATGTATCTTTCGATCAAACAAAAGCAGGAGCTTTTTTGCTCTGGAAGGTGAAGCTATGTTACATGGGTATAACCTCCTATTCTCTTATTCTGAGTGGCTTTTTTGGATTCAGTGCTTAAGAAAACATTTCTGTTCAACTCCCAATGCTAGAATGAGTGACCAGTGTATCTGAAGCTTTTATTAGGTCTCCATACAGAAATAGATAAGTTCCCACACTTAGGAAGATTGGGGAGTTTACTAGACAAGTTTTAGTCCAGCATCCTGCCATGTTTGTGGCTTAAAGTTGCCTACAGAACCAGTTTAGGCCCTTATGTCTTCAGGACGGATGGGAATAAATTTGGTATATAGCTGGAACAGACCATTCAGTTCCACCTCATCCAGAATAAGGAGGAAAACCATAACATTTTGAAAAGCAGAGCACTGATACTCCACAAACCAAGCTACAAAATACTAGTATAGATGCTTCCACCTTTTATGTTTCCTCCGTTGCTGCCTCCTAGCATAGGAAGCAGAGATTCTTGGTAGAAGAGGAGCTTTGCCACTGCTCCTGAGTTTTCTTGTGTGTCCTGTCTTTTCATCACCATCATCATTCCTTCTTCACTTCTCTGACACTTGTGCTGCAAATGACTTCTCCAGGTCTCTGTGGTCGGCAGCCACAGCACCAGTGAGTGAACTGGGTAGAATTCACCAGTGCTGAGAAGAGGAGCAGTGGGGTGGCCCAGGGCTGTGTGGACTGAGCATAGTATAGTAATTGGATTCTGAGCTGTGCAAAGCTGAATCATAGGAGTAGCAGATGATGTTTTACTGAAATTACTGTGTCCTTAGCACAAGGAGAAAGTACACAGAAATGGGGAATTTTTTTCCTACAGAAGGGATTTCAAAAAAATATGCAAACTGTTTCATACTGCATCAGGATGATTGAGACACTGCCTTATTGGGAGAAACAGACCTAAAGAAAGCATACACCTTTCTTCAACAAAAATGCCGTTCGTGAAGAAAATTTGATAAGATAGTAAACGTCTCATTAACAGAGTCAGAAATATTTTCGACATTGCGAGGCTTAAAATTTTCAGACCTAATCTCTAAATAATGAGTGAAAGCATGTATGTGATCTTAGTGGAAATGCTTAGAGTGCAAAGGACCTGCGGAGGCTTTCCCTTTGTATTTAAGTTTTCCTGATCTGTTCACTGCCTGCTCTTCTATTAAACTGTTAGTACGCTTACAATTTTTACAAATCTGGTGGTTCCTAATGGAATAACTTACAGATTGTTCAAATGCACTGCTCTGCAGCATGTGTAATTTGTGTCAGACTGTTTTCTAGAATCTCTGTGAATCAGTGTTTACAAACAGGAGGTGTGCATTTCTTTTAAAGGCTTGATTAATGAGCTAGGAAATTTACTCTGTGATGGTTATGCTCTGAAAAACTCAGAGTGAACAGTTTACACTATTAATCTAGGAAGTAATTATTCTGTAAGGAGGATGTTCTACCAATCTGTTTTCATTGACCATAGAATTCTTGTACCTATTTTTGTTCTATGACATAAAATAGAGATATGAGTTGAAATTTCAGAAAAGCAGTAAGTAAGAATTGCTCAAAATATACTTAAATACTTAAAGAATACAATTAAAAAAGCTTTTTGTTTTATGGTTTCAAATACATTTCCCTATTGTCATGCTGTCAAAAAGTCTAGTAAATTTGTGCTACATCTTTTTTAAACTATAAAATCCAGTGCTGTTTTTTTCAGTATTATTCACAGTAGTTATATGTATGCCTTCTTTAAAATGCTATTTTTTTAGTTTAAGAGACCATTCACATCTATAAAATATTTTTATTTTATAGGTCTTTTATCTTTTGGAGTAAAAGAATCTGCATGGGTGAATAAGATTTTCACTGCGATTAACATCTTGGTCCTACTCTTCGTTATGATTTCTGGCTTTGTGAAAGGGGATGCTGACAACTGGAAAATAAGTGAAGAATATCTCATAAACCTTACTGCAGTAACAGAGTAACTTATTATTGTTTTCTTAATCAATTTATTTTCTCATATTCCAAGCAATTTTCTGTCATAATTGCTTTAGTGGTATTGCAAGTAGTAAATCAATGAATAGTTCTGTTGTGGGGAGTGATGAACTTTTTATTCCCTTAAATATAGTTTTTATTTTCTTGTTTGTAAGTCCTTTTTTAAAAAAAAAAAATAATAAAAAATCTTAGTTCAATACTGTTTTCCATAGTAATCTGAGAGGTTACTCTCTTACTGGCCTGAAAGCCATGCACTATATGAGCCTGACAGCAAGAGTTGCCTACACCATTAGTGCTTTTTACAACATGTTTTGCTACAAACTGCAAAGCAAGATGATAGTTACTTGATTTGGGTATTCTTCCATTTACTGTTATTTTTGTCTTTCTTACAAGCTTTGATGTAAAGATTTCCTCTCATGCAGTTTTGTAAAGTCCCATTTTTGAAAAAATATTTTTAAACTTTTTTTTTTCCCCAGAGTGGTAGGGGAGCATGATGCATCTCTTTGTCCTACCAAAAATAATTAAAAGAAAGTTATTTTTCTGCTGTATTTGTGTTTTTAATAGGAACTTCTCATCCTATGAGAATGTGACAAGTATATATGGGAGCGGTGGCTTTATGCCATATGGTTTCACAGGCACATTGGCTGGTGCTGCAACCTGTTTTTATGCTTTTGTTGGATTTGACTGCATTGCAACAACTGGTATAGTATTTATATGTGTGCATTTATAGATGTAAAAAAACCCCAAAACACACACAAGGTGAAAATCTGTCTACTGTTATGCCATTGCTTTCTCCTAAACCTCATTTGGTCCATATAGAATGAATCTGAATTAATTCCTGAATGTGGCTGTTGTTCTGGGAGGAAGGAGGAGGTTTTACTTATTTTATTGCTGTTATAAATAAATTTATTGTGGCTTTCTAAGTCTGGGAAGTGCTTACAATTTTCTTCTGCTAAATCATGTTAATCACTTGCTCACTTTTACAGTTCTCTGAGATGAGTTATCTCTCCTAACAGCTGGCTTGTATGTTGCTGATGGAGAATGAGTACACTGAACTTATAAACTGTAGATGAATCACTGGAAATGATAGGCTTCCAGTAGTCTAAACATAGAATGTATTTTACATCCTTCTGTTTCTGGCAACAAACTACTAAGTTTGGGTCTGTGTCACTGAGCTTATTTTATACAGATTTTTAAAACTTCTATTACAAATAAGATTCCCATGGCTTAGACTGACAAACAATTTGTCTTTGATGTTATCTAAAGCTGGGGGTGGAAATAAGTAAGAATTCTTTGTCTGGCATCTTTTTTCCTTTTTTTCAGGAGAAGAAGTCAAGAATCCTCAGAAAGCCATGCCCATAGGAATTGTGGCATCTCTGCTTGTCTGCTTCATGGCCTATTTTGGGGTTTCAGCTGCACTGACACTTATGATGCCATACTATCTGCTAGATGAGAAAAGTCCTCTGCCAGTAGCATTTGCATATGTTGGATGGGGTCCTGCAAAATATGTTGTAGCAGTGGGATCCCTTTGTGCTTTATCTACAAGGTAAAGACATTGAAATACTAATTTTATTGGGAAAAGCTGGTGGATAATATATGAAATTTAAATATATGTTCGTGCGTTCATTTTGAAGGCTCAGTTCATGCAAAGGATTAGCAATAAGTATTATAAGCAAGTTTTAGACTTAAGCAGGACTTGATCACAGTAGGTGCATCAATTTAAGTTGCTTTTTTAAACTACTGTTATTGAACTCTACTTCTTTGGCTTATTACCCTGGAGTTTTTTTAATCAAAATATGTGTTTTCAAACATATGACCTACAAGTTATCTTTATTAAGTGATAAAATAAACCTCACCCATTTTGTCCTTTCTTGTTGTCCACTTCCAATGACTCAGAAGCTTTATGGGCTCTGTGTATTTGCAGGCAAAATTGAAGAGATGATTAACTAGCTCCACTCCTCATCTTTGTTGCCTGTCTCTGTTTTCCTCCAGTAGCCAGTCTGTCTTCTGACATCATCCCCTCCTGTGGTTTCTGTGTGGGTATTTCAGATGAAGATTATAGCTGTGAAAATACTGTAATTTATTCCCCTTTGTGAAATTGTGGTTTTAACTTTTAACTGTTGTTTTCATTAAAAAGATCAGGGAAGGCATGAGAGATAATATGTATTCATATATATGGCACCCCAACTGTAATGTGGTGCAAACACTTTCATGGAACAGAAAATTGCTCGATACTTGAATTTAGGGATAGAAAAATGCTGATCCAAATCTTCTGTCTGGGCTTATGTAGATAAAGTGTCATTTTTGTGAGATTCAGTGGTAAGAACACTGGCTGCCTTGCCACAAAGGCAACCAATATGCCTGTAGAAGCGCTGATGCTAACAGCACTCTGAGATAACCCTGTAAGCAACATAAAGTTGCTTATAGTCTTAAAGTCTTATAAAAATAAGCATGCTCACTGTAGACAATTGTGTAAAAGAAAGGAGTATTTTTATGTAGGAGGGGATGGAAAAAGGGAATAGTTCCAGAATGACATTAAAAGAATTGAAGGGCTGAGTGAAGAATGCTGTAGTTACACAACTCATTCTGGGATTACAGTTATTTTCTATCTAGTTGTCGTGGTCCCCTCAATTTGGAGGGTTTTACTGAATTTTTCATCTATATTGAAAAATACTTTTATTTCTTTTATATTAATATAATTTTACTAAGTTACACATAAGCAGAAATTAGATTAAAGGAGTTAATACTGGGAAAAAAAAATTGAACTGATGTGGTAAAATGCTTTTTCAGAAATTTGAACTGCTAGTCTCTTTTCCCAGTGTATTCTGAAGAATTATACTTATTCATATGGAGAGGTTAATCTTTCAGTCCGTTGACTGATGTCAGTGCAGACCAAAACAAAGGAAATTGTTTTTCATATTTCTCAGTTTAGAGGTAAAATTAAGAAGAAAAGTTCATTGCTTTTGGTTCATATAGTTATCACTTATTATGTTATGTCGTGAACTTGTTTCCTCAGGGTAAAGACGTTTGCTAATATTTTTGCTATTTATGTCAGTATACCTAAAGACAGGTAGGATAAATAAATTTTACAAAGCCACAACAGCGAAAAATTTGGCAATGGATTTTAACAGCATCCTTATTTGAAAAGTCAATTGTCACTCTGATTCAGGAAATATTCTTTTTTAGAAGGGACATTCATACATCAAAATCAGTTCATGTGCAATGAAGCTTCTCTCGTGTGTGTCTAACCTTAACACTTGTGTCTTACAAGCATTACTGGAGGTACTTAGCATCTGTGGTATGTAAAAGCTGTGCCTTCTGTAAGTGATATAGTTCATTCCCTAAAGAAAGAAATGCAACCATTCATCTGGTTAAAAAACAGTGTGCTTGCTGCAGAGCTTATACTGGCTATGACTTTGCCTTTTGGCCTTTCAGTGGTTTTTGGTTTTCTTAATTACAATTATTTCGCTTAAAGGAAAAGAAATGACCTAATTTAAGAAGTCTGTTTTAAAAGAACTTTGAGTTATCAACAGTTTAAAAGCTTTCTGTGTTCTGCTAATAACAAATCTAAATTAATTAGCTTTACATCTAAAAAAAAAATGAAAAAAATAAAATAAAAAAAAAACCGAACACAATTTTAATGAAGCTTGGCTAGAGGTGCTTTAATTCAAAAATAAAAAAATAATGTGCCCAAGTATAACTGTATGGTGCTTACTTTGGACTACTGTTAATCAGCAGCCTCACCTGGAAATGCAGAGTGTAAGAGATGCTGCTAATGCTTATGGATTTGCTGCTGCTGACTGACAGGCTTTCTCCAGGAATACTAAAGCTTAATTGCATAGTTAGTGTGACCTGGACCATGTTCCTGGTCCACTAATACCCAAGAACTACAGTGATGGCAAGAGTTATTTTGCTGATCTGAATTCTCTTTGATGAAGCAATTCCATGACCTAAACTGCTACTAATGATAATATTTTTAAAAAGCTATCAACTTCATAGAGAAAAAGAAATGTCTGATCTGTAGTGTCTTGGGCTATGGGGCTTTCTGGTTTTGTCTTATCATAAATTTTGTTTCTATACATGCCATTAATTAACATTGTTTATCTTGTCCATGATATAACTCTGCATGAACTGTGTTTGCTATGTTGCATGTGTTTGCTTTTTACTCAGTCTTCTTGGATCCATTTTCCCAATGCCACGTGTAATCTATGCTATGGCGAAGGATGGGTTGCTTTTCAAATGTCTAGCTCAAATCAATTCCAAAACGAAGACCCCACTAGTTGCTACTCTATCGTCTGGTGCAGTAGCAGGTGAGACTAAGAGTTGGTTCTTGTAAAGAAAGTTGCACTGCTAAACACGTTGCATATATGGAAATAAACCACTGTTGTGCAGCTTTGAATCGCTTTGGACTGAAGTGATAAAATCCAGGTAAAGTAAGCTAGCAGCAAAACTATCCTCTACCACAGATTTTGTATTTGTTGGATAATCTCAAGTGCTTTCAAAGCCTAGGTTCAAAATAAACAACAATCCAAAACCAAGAACATCAGTCAACCAAACAAAAAACCAAGAGCAGCAACACAGAGCCTAAACCAAACTATACCTAAACCCATTAACTCTTCCAAGCTTTTCTTTTTATGTAGTTGGGTTTACCAGTAAAGCATTGTGCTTTTAATAACCTGTATTTGAACTATACATTTTTCTGTTCTAGTCTTCTCGGCTCTATGTTCCCTTTGCCCCGAATTCTGTTTGCCATGGCACGCGATGGTTTACTCTTTAGTTTTCTTGCCAAAGTGAGTAAGAGGCAGGCACCAGTTTCTGCCACCTTGACAGCAGGGGTCATCTCTGGTAAGCTCTCAAAGCCCGTGTTACTTCAAACTGAGATGTAAACACTCTATGCACGTGCATGGTACTTTATATTTTTGAAAAGGGCTGCTTGTTAACTTCCCTTGCATGTGATGGGAATAAAATTACTGAGCAATCAAAGGGTGTAAGAACTCCAGATGATGCCAATCATGGTGGTGGTGATGTCCTTAATGTCACAGAATTCAAAATTTTTTTTTTTTTTAAAATATTGGCCTGTTGTAAGGTGAATAAGCTTGTCACTTAATCTGAGTCCCTTAGGCTCATGCTCTGCTTACAGGGTGTCTTTGTCTGATGTACACCTATATATTTATCGCATCTATTGTGGGGGAAAATAATTGTCACGCTTTTTATTACGAGACCGAAGGAAAAAATTCTACATTTGCAGCAGGATCAACTGTAATGTAAAATACAAATATTTTTCAATTTTCCTCTAAAGGAAGTGATTCTGGTTTTGTATATGCTTACCCAGTTGTGGCTGAGGGTGTGTGTGTGTGGGTGTGTGTGTGTTGGGGGGTTACGTGTGTATGCACACGTATGTATGCACACACATGCCCACATATATTTTAGCAAAGCATCATTTTGGGAGCTGTTGCCAACTCTTAAAGTTTCACAAAGAGAAATTCTTAACAATCAGCTGTTTCACTTTTGACCATACTTCTTGCAGAGGCACATGTAGCTGTGCCCAAATTTCATTGTCATTTCAGCAGGTTGTCTAATTACCTGTGAAAATTGGAAGCTCTAGAAGTATTTAATGCAAAAGCAAATAAATAAGTCTTAAAAGTAATTAAAATATGAAATACATACCTTATGATTTTTAGAAACCCTGGCTAAAATTGATATTAAATAAGGGGTTCAGAACTGAGACCAAAACATTATCACTTACAGTGATAATGCCATAAGTCTGGAACTGCTTACACTGTGTACTTGACAATAATATGAGAAAGCACAGTCATTGTCTGGCTATTTCCCACACGAAGCATTATCAGTTCCTTTTTTTTGGTCAGAGTGCAAATAAATTTTTTAGAATTACTTTTATTGTGGAATTTGAATTTAAAATATTGACGTGTTCCCCTGTAATGCTTTGGAAGTGCAGTTATGTAGGATGAAATGAACATCTGAAATCACAGTAATGATGAGAAGAAAGAACTCTGTATTACCCGTCTGGTAAACTGATTGTTATAGATCCCTGAGTACAGCTATGCAGCAGCTGTCACTTGGACTGCTTTTAGACAGTTTGGGGAATTTAGTGTGTCAACAGCTCACCTGAAGACAGCTTTATCTACTGCTGGAGAATGAGTAATTTCTTCTTCTATTGTTAAAAAATGCATATTTGGTCATAAATAGTTTTGCCAGAATAGCTACTGGTGTGGTTTAATGCCAGCCAGCAGCTGAGCACCACACAGCCCTTTGCTCTCTCCTCTGCACCCCCACAGTGAGATGCGAAGAACAGGAAAAGAAGTACAGCTCAGGGGTTGAGATAAGAATGTTTAATCATTGAAATAGAATGTATAATAATAATAGTAATAAAAATGGAGATAACAGAGAGAGAAATAAAGCCCAAGAAAAGCCAAATGCTGCACAATGCAGTTGCTCAACACCCACTGACTGATGCTCAGCCAGTCCCTGAGGAGCGACTGGCCCCTCCCAGCCAACTCCCCCCAGTTTATACACGGGGAATTACATCCTATGGTATGGAATGTCCCTAGGGATAGTTTGGGTCAGCTGTCCTGGCCATGCTCCCTCCCAGCTTCTTGTGCACCTGCTTTGCTGGCAGAGGATGAGAAGCTGAAGAGTCCTTGACTTAGGATACACACTATGTAGCAACAACTAAAAACATCAGCACCTTATCAACATTATTCTCACACTAAATCCAAAACGCAGCACTGTACCAGCTACTAGGAAGAAAATTGGCTCTCCCACCTGACAGCAGGACATTTATGGATGTATGCAGCAGCTTATGTTATCTGACTTCTCTATTCATTTGTAGCACGGATGATTTCATAGCTTTAAGAAATGTTAAGGAGATTAGATGTTTGGCCCCCTAATTAAATCTATCAGATCAAGACTGCAGCTGAGGCACTTGTCACGTGTTATTGCTGTGACTTACCTTCTCACATGTGGTAATCGGGACTGTGAAACTGCACGTAGCAAAATGTTTTGGTATCAGTCCAAAGTCTGACCATAAATTGATCTAACATTGTTTCTTGGAGTAGAATTATGGGAGGTGGAAAAGCAATACTGTGTCTTTTTTCTCTTAGTCAGAAACTTAGAATCATCATAGAATCATAGAATCC